AATGTGTATAATTTTTATTTTTTTACATTAATTACAGTTTATTTACTTTGTATCCCAGCCACAGCCCACTCCCCCATTCCCTCCCAATCCCACCCTCCCTCCCTGGTCTCCTCCCTGCCCCTCTCTAAGTCCACTAATAGGGGAGGTCCTCCTCTCCTTCTAGCCAACCCTAGTTTATCAGGTCTCTTGATGGAGCTCTTTAAATGCAGTATTGTGAAGCCTTTCAGTTTTCAACATTGACAGTGTGTGTGTGTGTGTGTGTGTGTGTGTGTGTGTGTGTGTGTGTGTACACGCATATGCACTCACATTAGGATCAAACGAGGGCCTTGCCCGTGCTAGGCAAGAGAGCTCTACACTGACCTACATCCTTCGCCCTGTTTTCTTAGCCCTAGACATGTATATATGCAGGAAGAAAAGGAGATTCATTTGTGCTTATCATCAGCAGCACCGGTGTATTATTTCTCAGCTAGGATTGTAGGGCACGTTCCCTTTGATGACCTCAAACAATTTTAGATGTGCATTTCATAGATCTGCCCTGAGAACACTCAAAGCAGGAGGCCCTGCTAACAGTATAGTTCTTCATGTTGCACATATGAAGAGGTTGTAGTTCTCGGAGACTCTTTGTTTTGTTTCTGAGGTAGAGCCTTCTGTAGTCCTAGCCAGCACCTGTGACAGTGGTTTCAACCTTGACCTCCTGATTATCTGCAGACACTCTCCTGAGTGTTAGGCTTGAGGGCGACTGCCACCAACCACACCCAGCTTATAGATGAATTTTTAAAACTCATAGTCTTTTTTAGTAGTGGAGATCAAACCCGGGGCCTCATGAATCCTAGGCAAGTGCCTGCAATTTAGCTGCACCCCAACTGCTCCCATCACAGATATTTTAGGACTTCATACAGAGGAGACACTGCACGTCCTAAGAGGGTCTTGCCGGTGTTCTTTGTAGGTCACAGGAGGTTCCAGCGGCATCGGGAAGTGCATTGCTATTGAGTGCTACAAACAAGGAGCATTTATAACTCTGGTTGCTCGAAATGAGGTAAGCGTTCGGGAGTCCTTGTGACTAACTTGCTAATGCAATAAAGTCCAAGAGACTGTCTTGATGCTCACAGCAATGTTGGAACGCCTTCCTTCCTCTTCTTCCCTGATCTTCGGTGTTACTTCTGGACTCTTGGTTCTTCCTTGTATTGAGGCCAAGGGCTTTTCTGCTGAAGTTGCATCAGCTCAGCAGCTACTTACCATTAATGTGTCAGGCACTGTCGTTCTAGATAGTGCAGGACTTGAGGGGAGGCTGAAGGCATTGTTAGACAATCCCTTAACACACACCTGGCTGAAGGCAAACAGATGTGCTGGCAGCAGCTTAGAAGCCGAGAGTGATGTGTGGGCGTTTTATCTGTTGTTTTTCTCTGTGATTTGCTTATGATAGGCATCTTTGGTGATGTCCACAAGCTCCGGGGGAGTTTCATCCCTCCCTCTATGTATAGCAAAGTAGTTTTTTCTGTGTAACCAATCCAGGGGTCTGTTTTTCTTTATGCTGGAGTCTGTAGTCTTGCCAAAGTTGCTTTCAGAGCATAAAGCAGTGAGTGAAGCCCTTTTCCTCTTCAGGGGCTGGGGTGGTGCCCGTAGCTGTACGGTCAGAGGATTGGGGCTCCCTTGTCAGATGTTTTGCTGAAAGAAGAGGGCCTCAGAGTGTGCTTGGGGGGGTCCATTGATTACGTAGGGTGCATGAACCAATTCCACATAGAACTCGGCATGAAGATGCCTGCCTAGAGCCCTAGCCTAGGGAGGTGGAGGCAGAGAGATCAGAAGTTCAAGGTCATCCTCTACTATTTGGCTAATCAGAGGCTAGCCTGGCTTTTGTGCCACCCTGTCTTCAGGGAAAGGGAAGAGAAAGAAAACAAGATGTACTTGGGAGTTAACTGCCTAGGTAGGGTGGTTAGTTGAAAAGGGCCTAGTGGGGAAAGCAGGCTAAAAAGGATCCCTGGAGAAAACGTAAAAATAATGACCCAGAATTGGGCTAAAATATCCATAATTTCTTTTAAAAACAAGAAAGGGCTGGGCTAGGTTGTACAGGATTTAAAGTCACCCAACAAGAATGGAAACACAGGTTTAGTAAAATGGTACTTTATGAATTTTTAGCAAGGCTGGAATTTGACATGAGACCAGTGAGTGAGCAGGTGGGAGGCTGGCATCACAGCTGGCAGGAGTTCACCCGGGGCCATGTTTGAGTGAGTATACAATAGAGAGCTTTCTGGCATAAAGACATTCTTTAGTTTCTCATGTAACACTTTATTGCAGTCTTGGCAACATCAGGTGCTGTGTATCTGTGTGCGTTCAGTAGGAATGCATTGTTTTGTCATGGGCATTCACTTTTGCAAACTGTAGTTATCCTTTGAGGATACCTGCCCCCTCATCCGTCCACCCCTTGATGAGACAAAGTCTCTTGTATCACAGACTGGGCTGGAACTCTGTAGCAGAGGATGACCTTGCTGGACTCCTGATTGTCCCATCCCTACGTCCTGTGTACCTCAAGGCTTGGGTTTAGCTTTGCTTAGGATTGAACCCACGGCTTCATGCTTTTTGGGATCCTCTCCTTTGTTCTTTTACAGTTCTCAGATTTTATTTAAATTTATGAGAAATTAAGGTTCCATAATCTTGAATCTGTCTTCTTGAAAATAAGCAAAACAAAACGGAGTGCTTGGAAAAACTGTGCAATTATCTGGGTAGCTTTGAAGTTCTGAGGAGTATTTTTGAAAGTAGCCAGATGTAGATTTAATTTTTACTCCAGTTTTCATAGGGAGAAAATTACTGATGTTATCTTCAAAGCCCCCGTCATGTGGAATCTCACACCTTTAGCTTTCCAGAACGTTGTGTGGCCATGTGCTTCTTCTGTGTCACTGCTGACTAGTGCCGTATGAACATGTCTATTAGCAGCGAGAGGTTGACAGTCAACATGAGTGCTGTTAAAAGAAGGTTGAGGTTCTTTTGTTTTTCTTTCATCTCTCTGCAGTGAATTTAAAAATGTGCTGTGACTTAGCTGTAATCTCCCATATTTTGCCTCTTCCCCAAACCCATGTTAGCTACTTCAAGTTCTGTTTTATAGCGTTCAGTCTTTGTTCAAACAGTTGCCTTTTCTGTTCTTTTTAGCAAATGCAGACAGATGTAATTTTTTTCTGTATTGCTTTTAGGACAAGCTGCTTCAGGCGAAGAAAGAAATTGAAAAGCACTCTATTAATGATAAACAGGTAAGGGGGAGCTTTAGGTTGCATTGTTTAGCTTGATTGACACACAGTTGTCTAAAGGGGAGAAAGGATGTTGCTTCTACTGCAGATAGATCACTGAAGGCGTTTATGGTTTTCACAATTAAAGTACACTTTAGGATACTTTTAAAAGATGAAATTATTTGAAATGACTGGATTCGGGTCAGTACAAAAACCAAAAGTTATGACTATTGTGCATACCTAAAAATGGCCAAGCAGTGCTATATGAGAACATGATTTCATTTTAGTTACTTAAAAACAAAACAACTTACACACTTACTTAGGTGTAAAGGACCCTTGAAAAGACGTTAGGTTGTGTATTTTGGGGTACTGAAGTGATATATACCATGTAATATATTTTAGTGTATAGCTCAATGACAGGTGCATCATCTAATTAAGGAAATGAATTTGATGGTGTGTCTGACCCCTTTCTGCAGCCTTGCCTGGTACAGCCTCTTGCTGCTGGAGGCCACCTCAAGCATGACTCTGATGTCGCTGCCTCTTTGCTTTTCCCTAAAATCTTACAATGTATGGTAGTGCGCGTGTCCCTAAAGATTATCTTGTGCGCATGCGCCTTTGTATGTACAGCTGTGTTGAAATGCATGTGCATACATGTATACCGTTTTGGAAGCCACAGGTCGGCATCGGATGTCTTCTTGAATCTCGCCCTGTCTATTTTTTTTTTGAGACAGGGTCTTTCGATAAGCCTGGAGCTCATGAATCCAGCTACACTTGCTGGCCCCCTCAGTTGTCTCTACAGCCCCCGCACTGACACTCCCCGGGCGCTGGGGATCCAAACTCGATTCTCACACTTGCAGAACTAGCTTTTGCCAGCCAGCCATCTCAGCACTCAATAGCACACCTGGGCGTATTTAAATTTTAAAGTTCTCTATCTTTCTCAACTTTGACATTCTTCGTATTTTCCAAAGCTGCCGTAATGAGACTGTTCACACAGTGTGCTGTTGCTCCGTTTAGATACACATTTCCTGGGTTTTCACACAGTTGTGCAACCATAACCACAATTTTGGAATCATCCCAACACCAAAGATTCCAGACTGCCATTTCCAGCCACTCCCTGTTTCTGTCCTACTTCTAGACTTAGGCAAGTACTGAGAGAAACTTAATACTGTGAGGGACTAATGGGACATTTTTATGCAGTGAACTGCAGCTTTATTTCTTCATTCTATATTATTTTAAAAACTCATCTGTGCTGCTGAATAAAATAGCTCATGTGTTTTTGCTTTTCTTGAAATGGTTCTTTCTGTGGCTGTGCTGTTCAGCGAGGCTCAAATCCCAGGGCTCAAATGATTTCCATCTCAGCCTCCTAACAATATGACAATAGGTGTCCATCCCTGTACCCACTTTCTCTTAATTTTAATGTAATGTAATATGTAGTTTTATGCGTAAACTGCTTTTACTTAACCTGCGCTGTAATTGGTAGCTATTTAATTTGCTTCCACATTTTTTTGTTTGTTTGTTGCTTGTTGCTGTCATGGCAGATTGTCAGTGTGGTCTCTTTGTGCACATGCTCAAAAGTGACTCTTGCTTAGAGGCCTTGGACAAGGCAAAGCAAAGGTGCTCATCTCTTAATGGATGGAAAGTGGGGTTTGGGTAATTTCCTCAATGTCTTCTGTACTCTTCAAGGGCACACCTCAGTGGCCTAACTTCTTTTTATTAAGCCCCACCTTTTCAAGTTCCACCACTTGCCAATAATGCAACTGTACCAAGCCTTTAGCTCATTGCCCTGGGGATACAAATTTTAGTGCCCGACTTTCCAGTGCCTTCCTGTTTGCTCCAGCCCCCGTCACCATGTCTCTTGCCACAGCCCTTTTTGTCATCTTATTTTGTAGGCGTGTTCTTCCGTCTGCTGGCAGTGGGTTTCAAACTGAGATCATATGTCTAAATTTGGCCTTTGTTATTAGAAAGAATTGGTTTTTATTTGTAAGAATATGTTTTACAGTGTCGATGGACTAAGCATTTTGGTGTACATTTGTAATCCTTTTTTTTTGGTGTATGTGAGCATTCTATTTGTATATATGCCTGTGTGACAGAAGAGAGCATCAGACAGAATAGAACATCAGCTCCCATTACAGGTGGTTATGAAGCCAGCATGCTTGGATGCTGGGAATTGAACTCAGGACCTCTGGAAGAACAACCAGTGCTCTTAACCACTGAGCCATCTCTCCAGCCCACATTTGTAATCTTTGTGATCTCAGGATTTAGAAGGCTGGAATGGGGATGGCTGTGAGTCCCAAGCTATCCTAGACTATATGCTAAGTTCAGCTCAGACTATGTAACAAGACCTTGTCTCAAGCAAAACAAAACAGCAGAAAAATAAACACACCAAAACAAATTAGTTTTGGCAGCTGCATCTCCAGTATTATTTTTTATAGTTACTTTGTGTGTGTGTGTGTGTGTGTGATGTGTGATGTGTGTGTGTGTGTGTGTGTGTGTGTGTGTGTGATGCATATAGGTTAGAACAACTCGAGGATGTCAGTTCTGTGTTTCTACTATGTGAGTCCCAGGGATAGAACTCAGGTTACCAGGTGTGGCGGTGAGCACCTCTACCTGGTGAGCTGTTTTGCAGGCCCTGACCCTCCCTCTTCCTTCTTTCCTTTTTTTCACAGGTGGTGCTGTGTATCTCAGTTGATGTATCTCAAGACTATAACCAAGTAGAGAACGTCATAAAACAGGTAAGAACTCAAAAGACTGGGGTGGTTTCAGCTCACTGCTTGACTTTGATTGGTTCTTGCTACTTTGCTATGTGGCTTGGAGTTGGCAACTCCTCTCTATAGTTTCAGTGGTTCAATGGACTTTATTTATTGACCTTGTTTTTCTGCATGGTGAATCTTCATTCTCTCATGCAGTGTTTGGAACAGTATGTAATGTTCTGGACTATTTTCCAGGCACAAGAGAAGCTGGGTCCTGTGGACATGCTGGTCAACTGTGCAGGAACGTCTGTGGCAGGAAAGTTTGAAGAAATGGAAGTTAGTTCTTTTGAGGTGAGTAACAGTGCTCATCTCGAGTCAAGATGAAGTATCCTCTATTTTAAAACAGGCTTGCCAAGAATCTCAGCTTCAGTGCTGAGGAAATGGACCAAAGCGTTTTGTGGTTGGCCATACATCAGTCTTGTTTTTAGTGCCCTCTTAAGCTTTCATCGGGATAATGGGTTTTGAAAGCTCAACTCTGCAGTTAAATTACTCTCTTTTCTTAGAGAAAATGAGACTGCCTTCTCATAGGCTGTAGGAAGCACCATGTACTCATAGATGCACTCAAAAGAATCAGAGGGCAGAAGGCAGAATGGTGGAACCTGAGTGTTTGAGGTTCACTTTTCAGCTTGGAATACAAGAAGGTTGTCTATCCTTATGCATGTTCAACTGGAAAGGATGGAGGCAAGATTTGAAAGATGATGTCAACAGCAATGCAAATAACCAATTTGGAGAATAATTGTTGTGAAGTAATAAATCAAAAGTTTGGGGGTAGCCAGAAACAGAGGATGGGTGTGTGCATATGTGCATTCGTGTGTGTGTTTATCTGATTTGTGAGTATGTATGTGTTTATGCCTAAGATGAATGCTGAGCCCCTGGGCAGTAAGGCGTGGCTGTGGAGCAGGAGGAACGGGATGTTCATATTTGTGTCTAACAGCCATATCAGTATACCCATGTAGGTGTTTTATGAAGCTCTGAATAAAATAGCAACTAAGTGCGCAAACCTAGGTGAGTGTTTGATGGGGTCACTGAAGAGGAGACACAACTTAACTGCTGCAGGGGTTTGGTGGGTGCCATGTGGCTTCTTCGGGAGACATTCCTGTCATTGAGCCCACTTCCTTCTGGCCTTTGTTCTGATGTCCTTTGCCCACAGCTGATTCTGTCATCCTTCCCTATAATAAATCCTCCTCAAGATTCCCACCGTATGCTGAGGTCTTTGGGGCTGGGATGGTCCCCAAAGATCCCCGTATCTTTTTCTTCATTTCTCTGTTTAATGGCTTTCTTCCCACTCTCTTGGAACTGTACCTTACCTTTATCTGTGCTGTGAATGTTGACTCTTCGTTCTGTCATAATCGCTCTTCCATATATGTGTTTGTTTCTGCTGAGAGGCTGAGAGGCTGGTGCTGTGCTTTGTGTTAGAAGCTTTACTGGTTGCTGGTCCTCACCTGCGTTTTCACGTTGTATTCAGTGGAGGGCTCTGTGTTTGTGGGTGGAGCCATTTGCTTTTGGCTCTATGTAAGAGTGATAGTTTGGATCATGTCTTAGCTTTGCGGTCAGTATCCTAGGTCTTTTTTATTGCATTTATCCAAAGCCCTATAAAATGATCTAGGCCTCTTCCTAGGAAATGTGTACATGCCCTAGTGTTAAAGTGGAGGCTGCATTCAGTGTCCAGACAGATACTCTAGGAAAATTAAGGCCTAACTCACTTTATATATGTCAGTACTTCTAGAAATTCTGTCTGCCATTAGGCAGGCTACCACTAAGACCTAACTAATTTTTGTTGTTGTCTTATGTCACCTTTTGAAAGGTGAGCTGAATTTCTCATAAAATAAAATGAGGTATGTTTGTTTCAGACACCATATCACTGCACATCTTTCTGCCCTCAGCCTCACTTCTGCCTCAGCTTCCTAGGTATTGGGATCACAAGTCTCTGTCACCATGCCTGGCACATTGTCTATTGTAGAGTGAACCATTCAGAGGTGTTTAGGTATATTGCGATGCTGTGTAACTATCTAATTCCAAAACATTTTCATCTCCCCAGAGGGATACCCTACACTTTAGTCAGTATTTCCCATCTCCCCTGGCATCCACTAATCTGTGTTTGTCTTGCTAAATAATAAGAGTTATGTGATGTATACCCTCTTGGGTCTGGCTTCTTTTGCATAGCGTAACACTTTCAGCTCGGTTAACACTGTAGTGCCCATCAGTGCCTTATTTTTCAGGGTTGGTAATAGTCCCATTGTGTGGGAATACTGCATTGTGTTTGTCTGTTTATCATCAGTGAATATTTGGACTGTTTTGCCCCACCCAGCTCTATCCCAGAAGCTTTTGGTATCATTTGAGCCCTTGAGGCTTGTGCGCTACAATTCTGCCTTTTAGTTTCTCTGTTGCCATTCAACATTCAGTTTCTATGTTTTGCCAAATGCGTTATGACTTGTCATTTGTTCTCCAGCTTTCAAAATGTTGTTGCTTTTCCTTTCATTTTTATTTTCTTCTCTTAAACTGGGGGTGGGGACCCTGGCTCTAGGCTGGGCATAGTGGTTCATGCCTAGCTCGTGCAAAACTGAGGCAGGAGAATAAGCATTAGTTTGAGGCCAGCCTGGGTATGAAGTGAGTTTAAGGCCAGCATAAGCTACAATATGAGACCATACCTCCAAAACAGACAAATAAACATATTCTTTCCTGGTGTTTTAGTGAGTCCTGAGGGCTGAGGTAAACACGGGGCTCTATTCTTCCTCAGATACTTTTGGGGGCTTCTTACGACTAAAACAATTATCATGAGGGGATGGAGAGATGTCCCAGTGCCTAAGAGTGCTCTCTGCTCGTGCAGAGGAGCCAGGTTCAGCTCCCAACACTGAGAGCTCACATCTGTAATTCCAGTGCCAGGGACCGAGTGCGCCAGTGTCACCACATACACCCACACACGTCACCTGTATCCATAAGACAAAAATGTAAAGATTAAAACAGCACAGTGATATTAAAACATTCTGGGGGAGGGGGTGGAAGAAGGAATCCTGGCTTTCAAACACAATGTTTCTGCTTTTCTTTGCTTTTGCAAAATAATATAGTGAAAATTATTGTCTGCACATATCCTGCCTTCTACATTTTAAAAACTCAGAACCTAAATCTTTTCCCTCAGTCCTGTGTTTTCAGGCCTCATTTCTTAAAAGTTTTTTAATATTCTATCACATTGTCATCTTGGTTTATATTTATGTCTTACACTGGGCTGTTGAGCATTGCAGGGTGACAGAGTAAGGTTTTCAGTGTGTAAAGGTGACACTGTGCATCCTCAGGTCCTCAAGTTGAGCATAGGTTTAGGAATCCCTGGGACGAGCTGCTGTGAGTGCCTGTCCAGGCTCTTTCCCAAGCCAGTGTATACTGGCTTACTGTGCACCAGGATCTGTGCTGGTGCTTAGCATGTGTTTCCCCTCCTAATCCCCACAGCCTCCTGAGGTAATGCCAAGATTAACCCCATTTTCAGCTGAGAAAGTGGGTAGTGTCTTTTCTCATGAAATCAGTAGTAGGTGGTGGCACCACGGCACATCTCTGCTGTTAACTGGGACCATTTTTCTCTTTATAACCTTTGCTTAATAGAGCCAGAAGTATTTAGAGGGTCTCCCACAACTGCCTTTCACCAAGTATTGTCTGAAGGACCTAGGAAGATAGCTTGGAGGCTAAGAGCACTTGCTGCTTTGGCAGAGGACCTAGGTTTGGTTCCCAGCATCTAGAGTTGTCTTTAATTCCAGTTCAGAAGATCCAGTGCCTTATTCTGTTTTCCTTGGGCACTGCATACGCATGGTGCACAGACATATTTTGAGGCAAAAGCTCATACACATAAAAAATTATTACAGAACATTACCTTTAGTATACAGTGTGCTTTTCTGTGGAGAGAACTACTTTTGATGGTTTGTGTATGTGTGTGGTAGGGCAGAGGTTAATGTTGGTTGTCTTCCTCTATCTCTCTCCACCTTGTTTTTGAGACAGAGTCTCTCACACAACCTGGAGTTCACCATTTTGTCTATGCTGATTGGGACTGTCCAGCGGAGAGGCCCGCCTGTGTCTGCCCTCTTGCTCTTAGTCCTTGGATTAGAGATGGGTGCTGTCATGCCTGGCAGGTCTTTTGTGTGAGTGCAGTGGAGCCAAACTCAAGTCCACGTGCTTGCACAGAAAGCACTTTCTTAACTGAACCCTGAGTCCAGCCCTAATTTTGACTTTTTCATGAAACACAGAACTGCTCTCAGTACGAGAATTGAAGACTAGTCTTCAGAGGGTAGGTAGGAAGTGTCATTATCTACAGCATCACTCGCTTGCTCATGACTCAGCAGATCTTGCACACCCCTCCTCCCAGTTGCTTGGGCTTTGTTTTACTTACTGTTCTGTTGCTGTGAGGTCATGGCCAAGCCAACTCTTAGAACGGAAAGCATGTAGTTGGGGGCTTGCTTTACAGTTTCAGAGGTTTAGTCCATGATCATCATGGTGTGAAGCGGACACTGCTAGAGCAGTTAGCGGAGAGCTTTGCATCCTGGTCCGCAGGCAAGAGACAGACAGACTCTGGACCTGGTGTCGACTATTGGAACCTCAAAGCACACCCCCAGAGACACACCTCTTTTATCAAGGCCACACTTCCTAATCCTTCCAAATTGTTAAGTCAAGGAGGAACCAATCCTACAAATATATGAGCCTATGGGGGGGGTCATTTGCATTAAATAAGTTAATCCTGGAAAGAGACAAAACTACCCTTGAGCAGGGTGTAGGCATTTGACCTTGTTCCCACCTCTTCTGACCTCTTTGTTTCTTGCAGAAATTAATGAGCGTAAATTACCTGGGCAGCGTGTACCCCAGCAGGGCAGTGATAACCACCATGAAGGAGCGACGGGTGGGCAGAATTGTGTTCGTGTCCTCCCAGGCAGGACAGCTGGGGCTGTTTGGTTTCACAGCCTACTCTCCATCCAAGTTTGCCTTAAGAGGGCTGGCAGAAGCTCTACAGATGGAGGTAAAAGTTGTACTTATGTTTGAATTCCTTGCTCTCAGATCAGCAGTGTGAGCACTGTAGTGTTTCAGCTTCTTCACCTATATTATTTGCATGCAGTTTAACTCATTTGTAAGTTCTGCATTTAATAGTTTTATTGTATAAAAATTATACTCAGGACAGAGTCAAAACGTCTACTGCCTAAAGTACTTGAGATTCCTTCCTGGTACTTGTCTGCTTCTGCCTGAGTGGGCAAGGATATCACTATCTAGAAAACTTTCTGAAAGGCCAGCCCAGGCTGAGGAGGCAGCGCTGTGGTTTTGTTCTACAGTTTGAGTTCTGGACTTTGGCTCTCCAGAACTCAAATACATGCTGGGTGGGTGTGGCCGTCTGCCTGTAAATCAGTGCTTGGAAGGTGAAGATGGGATTCCCAAAGCAACTTGGCTAACTAGACAGACTGCTCCTTTCAGTGTGAGTCCTACCTCAAAGCGTAAGGTAGACAATCACTAAGGAAAACTCTAAACATAGTCTCAGGCCTCTACATATACATGCGCAGTTAATAGGGCACGTGTGGCTGTGAAATCACAAGAGAAAATACTGGAGTTCTTTTGCAGTCATTACTCTTAAGGACTCTACAAATAATCTTTTTTCTTTCTTTATTTTATTTTATTTTATTTATTTATTTTTTTATGTGAAATATGTGCAGGAGGTTTCTCCATGCCACTTTCTGGCAGGAAATTGAGCCGTTAGTGAGTTCAGTGAGTTCTTCAGAGTCACATGGTCACTTGGGACAGGAATGTTGAGAAGGTCCTGCTCTGTGACTGTAAACCTACAGGTCGATTACAGCAGAGGGTGTGACTGTAATCTGGGACAGAAGTTAGTGTGTACCTCTGGCAGCTGCTTCATCTGCTTTTAGTTTTGGTCTTAGGATCTGTGTAGGCAGAGAGGTTGGGGAAATAGAAGTATGTGTCCATCAAGGCATTCCCCAGTGCCCGACAATGAGATTCCCAAATTGAAAGCAGAGTGCATCAGTGGGTGCCCTGGCACCATGACCCAGTGCCTGCGAGAGAGCCCCTCAGAGAGAGCCCCTCAGCCTCTTGATGACAGGAGCGACTTTTCACACTGCTGGTGGCTAGGCTAAGTCTCCTTGATGTCTGTGTATTAAAAGTGTTCTTAAATTAAACAGAGACATACCACCCAAAAGGCTGCTGTTTTATTTGGATAAAATAAATTGTCTTTTGACTTCAGTTAGTGTGTAATAAAAGTTGCAGCAAACCAAGCTTTCCTTATAAACTAATAGTTTTTTTTTTTTTTTTTTAATCTAGATAATTTGATAATTTGGTCAGGCTTTTTTCCCCTTTTTTCTTTCTTTTTTTTTTTTTTAATGAGTAAAACCAACATAGTTGCTTAAATGCTTGAAGCTTTGGGCAAACTTTTTGGTTTAATTGACTTTTAAGTCTTTTTATTTACCTTCTTATTCCCCCAAACTAAACTAAAACTGAAAAAAAAAAAAAAAAAAAAGGCCACAGTGTGTTTAATTGAATGCTTTGTTGGTATTTGAGATTGATTTTCTTTTTTCCTTTCAGAAAACTGTCTATTTTAGATACAAATTTATATAAAGATTTTTTTAAATTTAATCTCTTTGAAATTATATTTCTTTTTTAATCAGTTATTACAATTTATTTAATTTGTGTCCCGGGAAAGTATATTTCTAAAGTCAGTTATAACCAGAGGTGTTTTCAAGATTAAACCACAACAAAACAACAGCAGTCTCCCGCCCAGGTGTTCTTCCTGCTTTCCTACACTGACCATATCGGGCCCACCCTCCTACTCTTCCGACCATGCTGGACCAGTAAGCTGGAGCTCAGTCTCCTCTCCACCCCCACCCCCCCCGCCCCGTGTTCTTGTTGTAGTAGAACAAGGAGTAACAGCTCTTAGTGGAATTGTTTTTTATGATAAACTCCTTCTTAGACAAGCCTGTTTGAGGCTGATGCCAAGTGGAAGGGAGAACATGAGAACAGGATTGGAGAAAGGCAGGGAGGAGGGTAGAAAAATGGCCATTTCACAGGGTCAGGGAGAAGCAAAACAGATAGGCATGCTATAGTCAGATCAGGCATAACACCCACTACCCCCAGAACTGGGGAATGTAACCCAGAACTGGGGAATATAAGCTAGTGCTTCCTTTTAATATTAACCATCCCCTAATAATATTAACAGATAAAGAAAGGTGTAGGGGTAATTTTGTATATCCTGATTTTTGTTACTAGCACAGTAACTTGGATTGATGATTGCAGAAACAAGTTAGCCCCAAAAGGGACTGGCTCCTCTCCACCTTCCTGCTTATAGTCGCTCCCCATGAGAGCACTGCTCTCCTGCTGTTGGTGACCCAGTCATGACCTTGAGTTTGACAGATACTGTTGATCATAAACACTGCAGTGCTTATTGTGGGGAGGCAGCGCACGCTGGGGTTGAGACACCACTGTCAGTCTCTGTGAGTTGCCTCCTTAGCACTTGCTTTTCTTTTCTTCCTTCCTTCCTTCCTTCCTTCCTTCCTTCCTTCCTTCCTTCCTTCCTTCCTTCTTTCTTTCTTTCTTTCTTTCTTTCTTTCTTTCTTTCTTTCTTTCTTTCTTTC